GTTCTTCCTCTTTCTCGCAAACACACAAACGCACACATGCGCGCGCGCGCGCGCGCACACACACACACACACACACACACAAATTCTTCTCTTCTCTTCTCGGCGGCTCCCTCTGCTCGTCCGTCCGAATGCTCGATGGAGCCAAATTATGCTCGCGCTGCAATTTAAACTTTCGCTTTCGCGAGGGATCGAGCCGATACATTCCGCGGAATGCCATTACAATGCACGAGAGCTTAACGTCTGATGATAATTTGTTGTGCGAATAAAATGCCTGCTCGACTTATGTGCCCAAAATTAAAAGAGACTGGAGTAAGGTTTACTTTACAGGCAGCTGGTAGTGCCGGCCCTTCTGTTTGAAAAGTGCCATTGTGCTATTGATTATTGGTAATGCGAGGTGACGTTTCGTTTCTCGTACGTCGCTCGCCTCCTTTCTAACCAATTTAATTTAACGTCTATTTATTCTTGATGCAACAACGTATTTGCGCGCGTCCGAACATCTGCTCGACTCCGGCATGTTTGTTTTGAATTAAAAAGTAAAAGCGAAGGAAATGCGGGGAGGAAAGGAGCGTGAAAAAATCCGCGATGCCGTTCGAGGGATTGGAAGAAAGTGTTGGCTCTAATTAAAAAACAATGTTGCATGATGCACAGTCACACAGGACGTGCAAGTCAGCGGGCCGTGCGGATTACAAAAACGACCTCCCGTGCCTAGAATCGAAAATGGCTATTACTTTTTTCTTTCCCTTCCTTTTTCCCTTTTTGTTTTCAGCCGATAGGAGCGGCGGACCCGTCACGAAAAACTTCATACGCGATCCGCACGTTTGGCCGTAAGTCACGGGTCGGGTGACTCATAGGTCAAATCATCGAGGCGTTACAGCCGGCGTATATAATTGATTTGTTTGTTCGCAAAAATCTCGGGCCCTGAGCTCCCAAAGCCGTCCTCTCAATTTCATCGGGAGCCGCGATGGCCTCGTGCCCACTAACCCGGCCAACCAGGAGCTGCTTTGCATACTTTCCGCATCCCGGGATTAAGCCGTCGACTACTACATCCGTAGACATCCGGGGTTGTCTTTTTCTTTGTTTACTATTATTAAGAGGTCTATTATTAATTTCGCTAAAGCGCGAGCATCGGGGGTGTGAGTAACGTTGGCTATTTGCGTAATTATGGTAAGTGAACGCTGCTGAGGCGCCAGTTGAGGAGGAGGCGAGGAGACGAGGAGGCCAGGAGGCGAGGAGGTGAGGAGGTGAGGAGGTAAAGAGGAGCTTCGAAAGACCAAGACAATGCAGGAGGGAGTTCGATAGGCAATTATTATGACCCGCGAATGGCGCCTTGAACTTGTCCTAAGTTAATAGAGAGAGGGGGGAGGGGGGCGAGAGAGAGAAAGTGTAAAAGAGCGAAGGAGAGCGTGTGCATGGGTCCGTGTATGGGAACGTGGCGAGCGGATGGATCGGTACGAGTGCGAGTGAGAGTAAGAGAGAGAGAGAGAGAGAGAGAAGCAAGCTGCAACCACGAGAACGCGTACGTGTGCCTATAATGTCGGCTACAGCAAGAGGCAGGTTTCGATCAATAATTGAGCCCTTCTAACTGTCCGCCAGGAGCGGTGCTGCTCGCCTGCCTCTCATTCTTTCTCTCTTTAACAGTCTTCCTGCGTAGTCTTCCTACTGCTGCGTCTCTGCCCTCTGTCAAACCGAGTAAAGACTTTTAATGACTCTTCTCGAGCCACGAAAATTTCTTTCCGCCATTTTACACGCCAAGACATTCTTTTATTGTGCCTCCGCTCTTTTAATCCAACGGTTCAACGTACTCGCGGAGATGCCTCGCTAGCGACGAAATAAAAACAGATAAATCGAACGAAATAAAAAGAGTTTATTGTTTAAATAAGGCGCATCGATAGTTTAGATTTAGAATATTATAAATCTGTATCATTCTGAATAGGTTTCCGCATTTAACAGCTTAATTAAACTGAGATTATTGCCGCTGCTTAAGAGGAGGAACATTATTGTTCATTACGCTATCGTGACAAATATTTTATTTTTCATCTAATACGTCACGAGCGCAAATACGGTAACTTTAAGATCCGCGATAAGAGCCGTATTCTTTCTTACAAATAAACAAGTCATTCTACAGAGAAAAATTCGAAAAATCAAGCTACTCTATGTAATCTGAAAATTCACGATTGATGAATTGAAATCCTAAGATATAACGCAAAAGAAAGAGTTATCAATAACAAACAATTCTCTTCGGCTATTATCGGGCAAATTACTAAGATAGGGCGCAATTTTTTGCTCCTTAATTCATACACTAATACAACGTTACCCATCTATAATTAGCACGAGCGAACGCGTCAATAATAAATAAATTATTCATCCCGTCTCAAATACAATATTTGAGCTTTGTTCGTAAATAAGCGTTTGTCGAACACGCGCGCGCTCACACAGAAACACATTCTGAAAGTTGGCGTCAGTCAAGATAATCCAAAGAAGCCCGACATCGGGATTGACAAAAATGTAAATGACTTTAAAGTCAAACGAGAAAAAGAAGGGCCGAAGGAACAGATCGGCAGAACGAGAGAAAGGTAAGATTTACAAACGAAACTCCCTCTCTCTCTCTCTCTCTCTCTCTCTCTCTCTGTGTATGTGTGTGTGTGTGTGTGTGTGTGTGTATGATGCAATGGCCCAAGGCGCATTATCGCAGAAGCCTTCGACGAGAGCAGTGAACTTTTGTTTATCTGCAGTTGAAAAAAGCAAAAGAGGCGGAAGAACAAGACGAAGCAGAAGAAGAAGATGATGATGAAGAAGAATATAATGCTGATGATAATGATGATTATTTTAATTATGATGATAACGACGACGACGATGATTATGATGATGATAATGATTATGACGATGACGGCGAGGACGATGTTGATAATGCACGAGAATAAGATGAAGCAGTAGCAGGCGTGAACACGTTGTCCCGTCGAAAAAAGCACGATAAGGGAGAAGCAACGGAGGCGCCGGTGCACGTCACCGTTTGTAGGGTCACCCTTTCCACGTCACCGCTCCTTCCTCCTCCACGCCGGATTTTCTCTGTTTCCCTCCGGGACGCCCTCCCAGCGCATCCCGACATCGGGGCCAAGTTCAAGCTATATATAGGCTGCGACTGCACTCTTTACGCGAGCGTACAACCCCATGTGGCATAGATAAAGCGAGAGCGTGACAGCGAGATAGAGATAGAGATAAATAGATGGAGTGAGCGAGAGTGAGGGATAAAGAGAGATAAAGAGAGAGAGAGAGAGAGATTGAGAGAGAGAGAGAGAGAGAGAGAGAGAGAGTGAGTGAGTGAGAGAGCGAGTGCGTATGTGTGTGAACGAGTCTTTTGTGGATGGCTCGTGTGAGCGGCGCGCGTGTGACGATATCTATTAAACGACCTCTTACGTTTTCCCAGATATCGTCGGGGAAAATTTAGTCAACTGACCCCGGAACAAGTCCCAAGCGCGTGCCACTTCTTGTTATGCCCAATTTTAGAAGCGACTTCGGGTCGGCCCACGATCAGAGGAACATATTCGCTCCAAAAAGCCAAATACCGGCCTCCTTGTACTTTCGAACATTGAACTTGGAGTTCGAATGCAACGATGGCAATCGAGCAATTTAAAATCCAGTAATCCCAGCTCGATATTCATGACGAGGCTCACGAACATAAATATTACGTTGTCATGGTATATACAGTTATATTAAAACATAAACGTCTTATATATTTTTAAATGTATTTCACTCTCTCGTTTATATACATTTCATATTTAATATTTCATTGAAAGTCGAAAGTTTTCAACATAATTCTATTAGTATGGATAAGATAGAGAGAAAGAGTAAAGGGGGGATGTAATCACAAGTGTTGGATTATCGGTGAATGACACGAGTCAAAAGTAAATCGACGTTTGTTGTACTAATGTACACAGAAGAATGCACTTTTACTTTTCATTTTGGGAATTTGCTAAGGAATCGCCAGGACATTGAGATTTTAAATATATCGAAAGCAGCTCGAATAAATGATACTTTACTCAATAGGGACAATTCGTATAGAAAATTTTGTTTAAAATAACATTAATAGCACTATTTAACATAAAAATAGAAGCATCCCTTAGCCATTTCTGAGATCTATTCATCCCCACTCGCCTTAATCCACAGGACTTCGTTAAATATGCTAAACGGAAAAATACGGAGAATATTACGACAGTCGTCGCGTCTAACCCCAACGAAGAGCATTTTCGTGTTTTCATGTTTTTTTCTTCTCTCTTTTTATTTCCATTTCTTTTTGCTACCTATACTTAACACGCATCGTACAAAGTACTGCCCTGTAAATGCATTATATCGTATTCGAGATATCGATTACGCTGATATACAAACATACACCGTCCAAATGTAAAATAACGCGTATCATACATTTCAATGTTTCGTATGCAAAGACTCGATGCTAATCTCACCGTATCATAATCAAACCAATTGGATGCATTAAATGTCAGGATGAATCATATTTCTCTCTCACACCGAGCACACTTATAATAATAATAATAATAATAATAATAATAATAACAGTAGTTGAAAGCTCGGCATCAGAACAATAAATAGAATGCTACCTTAAACTCAAATTGCCGATCGACATTGTCGAAGCTCTTACAACGTAATTATCATGAGGTTTATGAGGTCATTTTTTAAAAATTCACCAACCTAATTCGGAGCGTTTATTGGCTCGTTTATCTTAGGCGTCGGGAAATTTTATGCTAAATGTCCATTGATCTAACGAGCCGATGCACTTGGCTTAAGGGTCTAACGAAATTCCCGTTAAGCCTGACTCAACAATCCTCTCCAAATTAAAAAATCCAAAAAATTGTCTTACGCTTAAGGTCACGTGAGATTGGTGCAATGAGGGAGAGGTGAGGCGAGGGGCTGGGGACTGGCACTGCACGGAGCTAAGTTAAAGATAAATGAAGAGAAAGAAAAGATAGGAGAATGAACGAACTGACCTTTTTCTCGGTGAGCTTCTCGCATCGTCGCATCTTGCAGATTTGGTGGCTTTTGTCGTTCCTGCAGGGCGCGCAGTCGCCGCAGTTGTCCTTCCTCTGGCAACCGATGCACTCGCCGCAGCGCTTCCTCTTTTTCTTCGCGGGCTTGTCCCCAAGAGGACCATCGCCCTCGCCGTCGCCCATACCGCCACCCATGTGATGGGCGCCCCTATTGGCCGTGGAGGAGACAGCGGCGACCTGCCCGGAGCTCTCGGTACTGACGGCCCCGGGGCCCTGCTGGACCCCGTCTTCGGACTCCATAGAGCCGGCGCGCATTTTTCTGCGCTCCTTCTTGCGTCCATCGACGCCGACCGCGCGCGACGTCGGCGACGAGTCCAGCACCGTGGACATCGGATTCTGGAAATTGGCGTGGTGCAACTGGGGATATTCGGGCTTGACCACCGCGAGGACCGCGTGATGCGGGTGTCCCGGATGGGGTTGGGGTGCGGCAAAGGCTTGGACGGGGCTCGCCCCCAGTAGCTGAATGTGGCGCTCATCGATGAGCTGCTGCTGGAGGCCGGGGAGCTCACGAGCCTGTACCGGGGCCGGGACGAGTGGGTAGCCGACTGCGGGGCCAGCCCGATGGGGCTGCGGGGCCGGCAGGGGCGCACCCAGTGTGTGAAAGCTAGGCAGACTGACGGGCGGCGAGTGCGATATCGAGGCCGGCGAGAGCGGCGTGAGGGTCGTCAGCTGGGGCTCCTGGGGCTCGCCAGGGCCCGCGAATTGCGAGGCGAAGCTCGGCAGGCCCTCGGGGCCACCGACTCCGTGCTTCGACTCCCAGGGCCTGTACTGGCTAGCGAGGACGACCTCGCCCCGGGCGTCGATTAGTCGCCCGGTGAGGCCCTCGTAGTAGTCCCAGGCGTTCAGGCTCGCGCCGATGGAGAGCTCGTGGGCTTGGAGGCTGCCCAGGGTGGCGGAGGCATCCATGCTGCCGTCGGCAGAGAAGCTACTGAAGGGCGGCAGGTGGCGGCCGTGCTCGCCGGGGGCCACCGAGCCCGGTGAGGTCGCGACCGCCGCCGGAGGGCTGATTACCCTCTCGGAGGCGAGGACCTCCTTCGTGACCTCGCTACTCATCTCTCGCGCCCCATCCCGGCGCGCCGCGAGGCCGCCGCGGCCGCTCGCAGGCTTAGGCCCTGGCTGGGGCTGGGAGGCGGGAAGGCGCGGGCCCGCGGCCCCTTAGCTGCGACCCGCGGGCACCAATTTCCGCGGCATGTCGCGCCGCCGGGATCCGTGATCGATTTTCACTCGCTAGGCTTTTGAGCCTCACTCGTGCACCACAGAGCTGGCTTTTTGTACTTGACAGGTTTAGGCTACGGACTGAAGTAGATGCGTTGCTCCTCCTTTCACTCTCTCTCTCCCATCCTCTTGCGTCTCCTCACTACGAGCTCGCTTTATTAGGCATTTTTGGAAAAATGGTTATATTCTTTGGTTTATGGTCTATATACTTTCTCTGGCTGTCTAATCACCTCTACGCGCTTAAAATCCTCTTTAAAAAGAAAAAGAACTTTCGTTTGTCGCCGATATTTGTTTCTCAAACGACGATAATAATTCACTTTAGGTTCATCTTTGATTTGGCACTGACGGACTTTTAACCCCTTTCACTTCTATTACTTTTGTAGCTTCAAAATATACTTTGTACACTATGTAGATATTATAGCTTCTTTGTCTCCTGAATCTAAGCTCTTTCGGGATTCTTTACGCTCAATATATAAACTCACTAATCATTATATTCTTCTCTCGCTCTTTCTCACTCTCTTTCACTCTCTCTCTCTCTCTCTCTCTCTTTCTCGCTCGCTTGCTTGCGCTCTTCGTATGAAAATATAAATCACTTGAGGTTAATGTGGCTTGCTAGAAGGCGGTTGATTTGTACGATCTGAAACAGATAAAGATCTCGGTTAAATATGGGAATGCCTCGCTACCGATAATAAGGATAATTGTTGAAGGAGTGTTATTGGTTGTCTCTCTGTCTTTGTGTAAGTATGCGTGCGCGCACAGCACGACGAGACGAGGCTGCCGTGCTACGGCAGGATCTCGGGGGTAATTTCTCGGTTCGAGCGAAAGTAAACAAGGCGCACGCGAGTCCCTGGGATCGCGTGGCACAGATCTTGGCCGGCGACTAGGGAGTGGACATCAAGCTTCAAGGCTACTATTACGCCTTGGCGTTGTCGGGCCCGTGCAGTTGTACACAAACGCCTACGTAGAGGAGGTGCTCTCATTGGCCCGTGGCGAGGCGCGCGACGATTATAAATAGAAGCGACGCGAAGACCGTTTTGAGGCAGGAGGGCCTATTTTGTCTGGACACGCGCAAGAAAATACTAATTAATCGCGAGCTACACGGGTCTCTCGCGTTCCCGAGGAGCTCGTCGAGAGTCCTGCTGTTTTCGAGCTTTGTTTATTGGCAGCAGAAATGACAACTTTACAGTGACTCTAAGTGGGTAGGGATGACGATGATTTCTTGAGATTAGGAGAAGTAGGAGGAAGAGGAGGGGGATGGAAACGATAAAGGACAGAGGAGCAATAACACGGAAGAGCCTAGAGAGTCATCTTGTGCGGAATTTGGCGGTCCGATCGCAAAAAGAAGAATGGAGAGTAGCGTGGGATGTGGATGGGAAGGTGGCCTGTAGGTCGATTTAACGGGACTAGACGGCCGATGTATGCCGTTGTCGTTGATGTCGTTGATGTCCATGTTGTTGTTGTCGTTGTTGTTGTTCTATGCCATTGTTTATGTAGCGATAATTGTTGTTGTTGTTGTCGTAGTCGTTGTTGTTGTTGTTGTTGTTTGTGGGGCGGGGAAGGGGGAGAGCGCGTGCGGGGACAGCGAAGCCAAGAGCAGCGCGGCGTTCCGGTAAAATTATCGATCGCGGACCTCGCGTGCAAGCTCGCAGAGGCGCCGAATTAGGGCTTTCGGCGCTCGGCCCCCCCGCGACGCTGCACCGACGCTCTGCGTATGTAGGGCTCCGAAGGGACGCGCGCCACGGCCGCAGTCCCCGCCCCCGGGGGGCAATAATAGCCTTACAGCTGGGGCGCGCGCAGCTTTCGCTATCGCCGGGAGCTCCCGAGCACTTTCGCCCCGCTCACCACGTGCTACCCACAAGGTCGAAGTCGACGCCTCTCGCCGCCTACGCGCCTCAGATCCGCCGGCTTTTACGTCGTCCGCTCGCGCATCGCTAGCAGCTCCTTCTCCTCATTCCAGTATGATTTTCTACGACCACTGGTAGTATTACTACGTCCTCGAGCTCGGCATT